ACTTTTTTTTTTTCAGTGGCCCTAATCCTCTTCCGTACTTTCTAGCTGCCATCTTAGAAAGAAATGTATTAAATACTAAAGTTTAAATGATGTTTTATTGCGACAGGGATGGATAACAAAATAAATTCTTCTTTAAATATCTTCTTCCCAGTAGATAATTTGAATTTAATCAAATGCAGAAATCAAAGGAATGAGCTTCTGTCTACATATATTTTTTATTTAAGAAAAAAAGGAATTGCAGAACTCTAAAACTGATGGTACCTTTGATTCAGGTTTATACTTGTTCTGTTTGAGCTGTTTTCCCAACAATATTTCCAAAAGATCATCAAGGTTCAGGTTTTAAAATTTAATTGAATGCAATTAATATTTAATATTAAGTACCACTGAGAGTAAAGGTTGCAGTTGCTTTCCTTAAAAGTTTGTTAACATTTAATATAATCTTTTTTTTTAATTAAACATAAAAAAGCAGATATATTGATAATGTTTTAAGTCAGAGTGTTTAAGTTTTTGCTAATTTGTTCAAATTCAGGGAAGCTGGGTCTCAGACTGTTTAGAGGGGTCAAAGGTATTCATGTTTAACTCCAGTAGAAGTTTAAATCCTACTTTTTAAAAGACTTTTGCAGAAGTTAGAGAATCAACTTAAGCTTTTTACTTCAGTAAAAGTTTAAAAGTACCATTTTTAAAACTTAAAGTATAAAAGTAATGAAGGAAAAACTGTTAAGGCCAGAATCTTTACTGCTCTACCCTTTTAAAGGAACATTTTTCTACAATTCTGGATGATAACTTCCTTAGATTTTATTTTCTTAGTTTTATAACTAATGGTAACAGGGTCATTTAACACCAATCAAATCACAAATAAATTATGGAAGCTCATTGGTAGAATTCCCTTATGACAGAAAGAAGGCCACGATTCACACCATTTTATCATCCAGAGGGGGGGACACATTTAATTACAAAACTGAATTCATAAAGCTGTCTTAAACACTTCATACATCCAGCAACGCATTGTCAAAATCCTGTTATCCCCCAACCTTCAACCTTATACAGATGTTCTCTGTTTTGCCAAACCTCCTCATACATCATCTAATTGCGTACGAATAAGGCATTAGAGACTTTATTATCGCTAAGACTCATACTTGAACTTCAACATGTACTGTTTTGTTGCTAAGTAAGTATAGGGCCATGTGTAAGGATATATTCTGATTCTGATTTCTGATTCTGATCTGATATAAGACAACAGAACTGCTTCTACAAAATTAATTGTCTCGATTAAATAAATAATTTTGATGGGTTTTATTTTTTTTAATACCAACAGGCCATAATGAAAATCACCTTAAATTAAATTAAAAAAGAAAAACGAGTCTTTTTTCAAAATGTAAGGAGTACAAAGTAGAAATAATTGCTAAAAAAGTTAAGAAGTAGAAGTAATAAGTTGCATAAAAAGAATTACTCCAGTAAAATATAGATAGCCAACATTTCTACCTGAGAAAGGTAATAAAGTATTTGTACTTTGTTCCTCGGCACCTCTGTAGGAAATATGAATGTTACGCTGGATAAAAGAAAAACAGAGGGCCGAACTAAAATAGTTTGTCATGAGTGATGCAAAGATAAATTCCTGTCAAAGAAAACTGTCTAAAGACAAAGAAGAGGTAAAGTTGATTTCCATCGACGTATCCTGAAAATATGCTCGAAAGATGAACGAAGAAAAACATTTCCTCTCTGTAGTTGCTTGCAAAGCTTTTCAAACAAAGTGAATTGATTAGTTTTCATCTATAATGATGCATCATTCACTGTCATTCTACAATTGATCTATTGATTGGCCATCGAGTCACAATGGGAGGGGGGGGACTGCTCCCCATCTCCACTAAAGCAGGTGGTGCCCTGAAGGGATCAATTTCCTTCCTATGATCAGTCCACATTCTGCAAATTATAGCCCTTAGTTGCATAAACTGGTTATTACAAAGTTGCATAAATTATATCGTATATTTGTTTTTTTTAACAGGAATAACAGAGTTTGAGTCTCATCCCGTTTCCATGGTGATGTCTGAAGGTTCTGTGGCGCGGTTCTCCTGTGCCGTCACTTCAAGCCCTCCGGCCACCATCACCTGGGAGTTTAACCAAAGCACGCTGCCTCTACAGACAGACAGGTTCATGATCACCATTTATATTCCCTTCCCTGGAAAAGCTGTCCTTTGGTTCGTCCCCAAATTCACTTTTTCATCTCCTCAGGATAACGGTTTTGCCGAATGGAGTTCTTCAGATCCACAACATCCAGCTGGAGGACGCCGGAAAGTATCGATGTGTCGCTACCAACATCGGCAGCCTTTTAAAGAGTCGAGAGGCCACACTGACTGTTCACAAAGGTACAGCGAACTGGAAGGATGCACATTTTGTTCCAAAAAAGAAAGACATTTAAAAACAATCAACTGGAATTTGTTTTCAAGTTTGAAGACGTTTCTCTTCCCATCCAGCAAGCTTTTTTAATTCAAAATGTCAGAAATAGCGTTTAGTTCCAGGTTTTATCCAGCAGCCCAACAAAGCCTGGTTTTAGTTTAGAAAACATGCACAAAAAAAACGGATGAACGGGTCGTTTAGCTTCTTTGTTAGCCTGCAATGCCCCATACCTGTCTATGTCTCTGAAAGGGGGTTCATTAAAGGGAATAGTTGGCCTGGCTGAATAGGTGAGGTCTTCTGTTCTCCTGTAAAGGGGTTGGGGGTGCGATGATAGCAGGAAGGAATCAACTCTATAACTGCATTATAGGTTTTTGAAAAGCCCATCAAACTCTCAAGCCCTCAAACTCAACGCTATTCCTGACATTTTGACTTAAAAAGCAAAATGTCTTCAAACTTGAAAACAA